ACATCCCTCTAAACAGCTCAGAGAGGACCCCTCAGCCAGGGACACACACCACCACACAGCCCAGAGAAACATTTGTCCTGTGCTGGTCAACTAAGGCTAGTCCCACTCCCTAGGGACACCAGGAACATTTTTTTTCTGGAACAGAGCATGTTCATGCCAAGGACCTCTGAGAACTTCAGGACACACTGGGGAACCCCACCTCTGTCTCTCGCTGACAAATATCTATTATTCTATCCACTCTCAAAAAGGTCTTGAAGGGTAGATGGCCACACCCATTGAATCAGTGATCTATGTAGGGCTTATCATTCTTGGATATAGTGACTAAGAACCCACAGAATATATTTCTATGTAGTTGTAGTGGTGTGTCCACCAGCAACCCAGTGACTCTGAGCTGTCCCTTCATTTCCTGATGGGAGAGAGGGGATCCAAGCCTTCCCAGAGCTGCCAAATAGGGGGAACTACCTGCTCCTGAATACCCTTGATGTAAGAAAACTTCTCCATGGCTGTATAGAGAATGTGGATCTGTCCTTGCTGTAGGAAATGTCCCCAGGGCTCTGTGGACCCAGAGATCTAGCCAAGTGGCTCCCTCTCTGAGCCTCAGTTTCTATCTGAACCTGAAATGTGAGTGCCTGTGACTTTGCATCCCTTATGCTGTGACAGGCTGGCTTCTTGATACAGAGAACTTTTCATCTCAAGACCCAGTCATCACTCTGTGTCTGGCTGGCTCTTATTCAACCAGGTGAAAAACTACAACCTATCCAGTCACTTTCAGACAATAAAAAGTTCCTTTTAATTCTGAGACCCAGAAAAAAACATCATTTTAATAATTAACAGGTCCAGTTCAGTGTAGAAGTCAATACTGCAAACCAATTCCTAGTGGCTCCATCTTCTTGCCTCCACCCCTAAATATGCACCCTACAAGTACCAGTTGTCACCAGGGACCAACCCTGCTTCCTTTCACACTTCTGGAGGCACAAGGGGGTATAAACAGCTACCTTTAGAACTCCTAGTACCCTCCCTGCTTTTTTTTTTTTTTTTTTTTTTTTTTAAAGACTTACTCTGTAGCCCAGGCAAGCCTCAAATTCATGGCTCCTGACTGATAAGATCATAGGCATGAACCATCACACCAGGCTTTCAGCATGCTCCAGGAAGTCTGTCTATCAACTCCCAGGCATTCTGGATGCCAACCCACCTCTTGGGGGAGGGGATAGACAGGGTGATGGTGTTATTTCCAGCATGTCTGTCACAGTTTGGAAGGGCAGTAGTGGTTAAGGTCTCTCCCAGCATTTTGTGAAAGTAATTGCCTCTGTGAGGCTTGATATGTGTAAGAATTGAAAGCATTCATGCTAACTTCCTTCCCCAGGAATTGTGGTCAGAGTGTGATGAAGCGATGAAGCGTCTGACTTAGAAGGGAGAGAAGGAGGAGGAGGGAGAGGACCAGGAGAATGAAGGAGAGAGAGAGGAGGAAACATATTGTGGGCTACAAAAGGAAAAGCCCCTTACTGGGCAAGCATAGAGACCAGAAGCGATGATGTCCTGGGTTGAAGTGTTGAAGACAGGTGAACATGTCACCCCTGGGCCTCTGTGGGGTTGCATCTGTCTGTCTCCCCACTACCTGTGGCTCTAGGTGTTCTCAGAAAGACATGGTGCCCTGCTGAGCTGGGCTTGCTTTTCACCACCCTGGAGGATCTTACAGAGATCAGAGGCTCTGGGGAGTGCAGCAGCTCCAGACCATTGGCCCCGGTCATCTGTGTCTCTCATGCTATTGAGAGTTCAGGCATGGGAAACTGAACCCAAGTCGCCATCTGCTCCAGCTACAGAACTGAAAAATAATCAGGCATTTTACACCCACAGGATGAGCAGAAAATCACAAAAGCTGATGCCACCAAGTGTGACAAGGACGGGGAACAATGGAGACTTTAATATGTTACTGGTGAGAGTGGAGAAGGCCCAGGTTTAGCCTGGATCTTGTGTATATAACACAGGGGTCCTTTTAATGAGGCAGGATCTTGGAAGGCAACTGAGCGCGTGTTAGTATCGAGCTTAAAGAGACTGATGAGATTCCTGGGAAATCTATGGTTGGGATGTTCAATTAGAATGACCCTTTGGGACATCAGGGTGGTGCCAAAGGAGAAACAGAGATGTTCATGCCCTGTGACCCTCCAGCCAAATCTCCATGCATTCAGGGAGAAGTTTCCAGCAAGAATTACAAATGTGTTCCTGCTAATGTTGTCTGCAGCAACTAAAAGTAACAAACTGGAAATAGCAAAAATATCCAACAATGGAAGAATGGATTTTAAAAAATGGCAACAGGTATCCAGGCATTGGTGGCACACACCTTTAATCCCAGCACTTGGGAGGTAGAGGCAGGCAAATTGCTATGAGTTCGAGGCAGCCTGGTCTACAGAGTGAGTTCCAGGACACCAAAGCAAAGATTACACAGAAACAAACAAACAAAACCAAAAAACAAACAAACAAACAAAAAACCCAACAGCAGCAACAACAACAAAAAACCCCAAAACAAAAAGATATCCAAAACTGACGAGGTCAGTGAAATTGTGCACATTTATGGCATCCTACCACCACCTATATCTAATTATAAAACATTTCATCACCTGAAAAGGAAACCCTACACCCACTGAGTAATTGCTCTCCAATCCCTGTCCCTTTCAGTCTCTGGCAAATCACCATTCCGCATTTGGTCCCCATGGTTTTCAGTTTGAGGTACTCTATGTATGTGGGACCATACAGTATGTGATCCCTCCCATCTGCCTGCCTTCACTGAGCATAGGCTGTTCACCTTGACAGCACTGATCAGTACTTCCCATGTCCAGAAAGTATTCCATTATAGGGAAAGGTGACATTGTGCTTGCCAGGCCTATCTGTCAGGTGGATATTTCTCCTGTTTTCACATGTTGGTTACCTTGATGAGCACTGCTGTGGACCTGTGTGCACACCCTCTATTTTAGTCGCTGCTATAATTCTATGGTCATATTCCTGGGTGTGAAACTGCTGGGCCATAAGGTAGCTGTTGAAGAAGCCACCCAACTGCTCTCCACATTAGCTAACTGTCTTTACATTCCTAACAGCAATATGCAGAGCCACAGGTTCTCCATATCTTGGATAATTATGTTCCATTGAGGGAGGGGCATTATTTTAAAGTTTTATTGTGGTCCTTGCCACTGGGCCTGTGTTAAAACTAACAGTCAGTCTAATGGGTGAGAGGCAACACTTCAATGTGGTTTTTATTTCCTTTTATTTCCTTGGTGACTATCTCAGCTAAGCATCATCTCATGTGTTCATTACCCAATCATGTGTCTGCCTTGGAGAAACGTCTGTCCAAGTCATTGCCCATTTTATAACCGTGCGTTGGGTGTTGACTTATAATATTCTCCAGTTTAAGACAACACCCCTGGCATGGTCAGTGCCTCTTCCAGTCTTTTAATTTTCAAGCTCTTTGTCAAGACACACATTGCCTCAGTACAGCCTATGCTGAGAAGCACTGAAGGGACTGTGTCTGCTTTCTTCCTTCTCTCCCAAGGTAGCCTGTAAGCTGAGCCCTAACCTACAGAGGAAGAAGGACTCAAGGATGCCAAGTGAGACGCTGAAGTTTTCTTGAGAAAGTGACAGGTGGGGGAGGGTGGGCAGACATAGAGCAACGGTTGAGGTAGGAGACACACGTTCTAAAACAGTGAAAAGGGGGATTCTGCTCAGGAGGGAGCTCTAGAAGTCCCCACTACCACACGGAGGAATGGAGAACACACTGGCGGGGTGAATTTTCACTGAACAAGTAGTTAAAAAGAGATGATAAAGACGACTGCTCCCAGAGCACACAGGGGGTGCTTTCCCATATGGCCAAGTGCCTATGTCAAATACATTCAGCCGGCATTGTTCCAAAGCTTGCCTGGCAACCCTGAACATAAAAGGAATCCAAGGAGGTTGGAAGGCTTGCTAAAGACCTGGATGACCTTGGGCAAGTCTGACCCAGCTCTTGGTCTAGGTGCTCTGATTTGTATGTTGTGAAGCTTGGCTTGGTGATGTGTAGAGTTTCTTACAAATGTTTCTTCCATAGCTTTGGCCTTGGTTATGCCTGGGGTGTGAAGTCATTTCAGAGACACCCAAGTCTGGTTCAACCCAACACTCTTCTCAATTTCAGTGACATCCCTGGATGAGGGAGCCTTCTATCTTTGGTGTCCACATCCTCTCTTCCTATCCATGCTGTTAGAAGCTGGGATCCCATTGTTAAAATCACCCTCTACATTTTCTTTTCCAAGCCACACAAAGGATTCTGTGTGATAGGAGCACCAGAGATGTTGTCTCCACAGCACAGAATAAACACCCTCCTGCTCAGGCAAGCGCAGGAGGTTCCTGGGGACTTGAAACCCCAAATGAGGTCTTGAAATTTCACAACTGTTTACCAGGAGCCCACAATAGGAAACTTTCTCCACGCTACAGGGGCAGTTCTAGAGTGTAAGACTAAGAGAACCCAGCCCAGGTGCAGTCAGCTGAAGGTCAGCCAAGGGAGGCAACAGAATTCACTTCTCTCCTCCCTCCCCTCACACAGGGCACAAGGACTACAGCCCAGCAAACGCCAGCCACTATTTTTCTTTTTCTAACCCCATCAAATTTGCCACAGAGACAAACTCTTTTCCAAAAACTTCAAAGAGCCAGAAAAACCTGGATTCTTTCGGTCCCAAGTCTCTGTAAGCAGCATGAAGGCTTTGGCTTGCTTTGTCTACTTAGAGGGAATGTGGGTGGGAAGAGTTGGGTACTCTGTAAGGAAGCTCCATAGAAGCAGAGCTACAAGAAGTTTCTTTGCACCGGCCTAGGAGATCGATCCGATCCGCTATTTTACAAAGGAGCCGACTACTGAGAGATGGGGAAACTTTCCAGACTTCAAGCTGCTGGTAGGGTCGGGTACAGCGGTGCAGAGCCCTCGAGGGAGCAAGCAGCATAACCCACCCTGTCCCTTTCCCAGCGCAGGGCGTGCAACCACTCACAAACTCAAAGACGAAGAGCAAGTCAGGGAAGGTGACGAAGACCGAGAAGCCACTGGGCAGGGTGCTGCCACCCGAAGCCGCTGCTGGGGCCATGCCTGCGAGCTGGCGTCGGCCTTGGGACAGGACACGCGCACCTCCGGCTCCGCGCTGACCACTCGCTCGCTCCGCAGAGCCCAGTGGCCGTGGCGCGCTCGCGCGCGGGTTAAGAACTGAAGATCCTGCGCCAGAGGAGGGCGGAGCTCCGGCCACCTGCCCCGCCCAGGTCCACCACCCCAGGGTCAAGGCTGAATCGCCCCGGGCGCCGCCCTGAAACCCAACGGAGTGCTCTTGAGGATCTGCAGGGCTGAGGGTGAGTATCTGGACTCACCTGTGGCACCCCTGGGTGCCACCTGCCTGCTGGGAGCGGTGGAGAGGTTTTGGGGCGGCACTTCCCTGTGTTCACTATCCATCAGTAACGTATCCGAAACCTCCCTCCTTAGGCACCCCATCCCTTTAACCCTGGTCGGGTCTCCAGTCTTCCCTGTGTTAATGTGTGCAACCTTCACGTCCTGGCTTTTGGAGGACACGTCCCCAGTTTTGATCTCAGCGGCAGGATGGGGTTATAAGGGCAACTCTGAGACTTGGCAGGGGAGCTGCATGCCAGAAGGAGGGAAGGGCGTAGGTCTTAGCAGGACAAGGCTGGGGGGTGGTGGTGGTGACTGCGGGTGGTGGTGATGGGACAAGTTGCAGCTGCATCAATGGGACAGACATTGCCAAGGAGGATGCCTGAAATTCTAGGGATGGGGCAGACCTCCCCCGTTCTGTGTCCTTTGACTTTCAGGCTGTAAAGCTCTTTGTAGGGCTTTCCTTCTCCCATACTACAATTTTGTTTTATTTTTGCCTTTATTTTTAAACAAGTATCATACCCCCTTAACAGCCATTTGTATCACACCAATATTTGCCTCCTCTTTATATAATGGCCTTTCTCAACCTCCAGCTCAGATTCTGAATTTGACCCCCTCCCCATTCCTGCCTCACCTACAGGTGCCACTTTCTCTCTCTCTCTCTCTCTCTCTCTCTCTCTCTCTCTCTCTCTCTGTGTGTGTGTGTGTGGTCCCACTTTCTTCCACATAGCTCTTTTTCCTTTCCATTTCCTACATGAAGTACATTTCTAGATGTATTTTTCAAAAGCAAGACTTTATGGCCATCAGAGTGATGGGAAATGTCATTCTGTTAATATGTTTCTCATACTGGTTAATGAATAACCAGTTGGCCAATAGGAAAGCAAGATAGGCGGGACTAGGAGACAAGGAAGATTTGAGGAAGTGGTAGGGAGGAGTCAGCATGTAGAGAGAGGGGGGCGAGCACAACGCCAGCCCCTCTCCGGTAAGATGAGACCACTGGAAATACTTAGATTAATAGACATGGGTTAATAATTAAGACAGAGCTAGCAGGTAAGAAACAAGTAACTGGCCAACAGCATTAATATCAAATACAGTGTCTCTGTGTGTTATTTGGGGTTGGCACGGTGGCAGCGGGACAAGACTCCTAACATCAACGGGTCAGAGCAACGGGGAAGCGACCAGAGGTTTGAAATAGGATGACCCTCTGCTCTATTGAGCCTCTCCAGACTGTCAGCTTTGGTGATTTGTGAGTGCCTCCATCAAGTCATCAGGTCCCGAGGACCCCAGGTCAAGACCTCTAGACATGATGGGCGGCGAAACCATCAGGGCCTCTTCCATCATGCCTTCAACCTGGGCTGGATCCTGATCCTGAGGAGATTATAGTGGAGACAAGCCCAAGCAAGCTGGCCACAGGAAGCCACCACCAGATGGCAAATCCAGCTGAGGCTGGTTAGCAATTTCTAACGGGTGCATCCTGACTATAAAAACCCACATTCTGTTGACTGCACCCTGGGGTTGAGTGAGGGCCTTTGGTTTTATTTCAAACCTTTGTTGTTAAGTCCTTCACAATTGGGCTAATGACTTAGGAGGAAAGTCTTGGTACCTTTGGGAAGGTTCAGCAGTTCCAGCACCTACCCCCTACCCCCACCACAGGAGGATAAAGGAGAAGTCTCTGAAAGAGTCCCCAGGGAACATTAGGAAGAGGTCATCTTGATCAATGTCAAGGAAATTTGCCTCCACCTTGGTGACCCTCTCATTTTATAGGGAACCCTTTGCCGATGCTCAGCTCCCTGACCAGACTCTGTCCACATCCACCTGTCACCTTCCCCGGTGCAGTCTGCCCAAAGTGTTAGCCCAGTGATTGAAAATATGGAAACAGATTTGTCAGAGCCCAGGCATGAAGGGAACACTAGAATGGCCCATTTGAATAGAAAGCTCCCTGGCAGTGTGGATAGGTACAACCCACCAGAGATTTTCTAGCTGCACTTGTTGATGATCCAGATGGTTCATAATTATAAAAAAATCCAGGGCCTTGGTTAGGGTTCTAGAAAGACATGGAAAAATCAGCTCTAGTCGATAATTGACTGTAGTGCCCTTAAGCCTTCCTAGGGGCACAACCAGTGTCTAGGGTCTGAGGGGGGGCAGGGAGGTTTGGACTTTTTGTCTAACTATATGGTGGCCTAGGGCGGCGTTCTCCAAAGTAGAATCTGAGACTTTAGAATTGTTAAGTAGCATGAGTCAGAGTCAGGAGGAGGTCACCTCCTGCTAGTGTAGAGGTTGGGAGGGAACAGGTTTGGGGAGAGGGGCATGTTCAGAGAAATATTCGTGGAGCAGAAACTGCCAACAAACAATAGCAGGTACAATTTGGTTTCGGGGTTTTGAGAAAGGTAAATTCCAGTTTATTGATGGTGTCATCGGCTCAGAAGGGATAGGCAGCTGAGTCCACATTGAATGATGGAATTCAGCTGTGAGCCCGGCTCTGAGCTGTAACGCTTCAGGCGCTTAAGACCTGGTCAATACTTCCAATACTTCCACCTCCAGCCTCCCAAATTCAGTCCTAGTGGTCGTCTCGGACATGGCCCTTGGCACTCGTTCCTGAGGTGTCCCAGCCCACTAATGGGGCTCTGGGCCTTTCATTTTCCATCTAGGAGCTAAGGGAAGTCGGCAGGTCATCCCCACTATGGATAGAGATGTTTGTAGGCCTGAGAGTAGAGAGCTACCTTGTGTGGGCCCTTACCCCAAGGGATTTATTTGTGGACAGCTATACACAGCTTCAGGTTTCTCTGCATGGCATGAAGGCTGAGGGCCCCTGCTGGGTAGATGGCTCAATGGCTATCACAGCTGCCTGGGCTTTGGAGGTTAGGTGAGCTGGTATTACAAGGCCCTCTGATCAGTAGATACTTGGCCTTGGTCTAGATCATGTTTCATAGTATCCAGAGCCATTTTGTTTGGCATCACCCTACTACCAAGGCTCAGAGTGTGTGATAACATGCCCAGGCTACATGGTGGGTAACTAGGCTTCCTGCATCTGGAAGGCTCCGTTACTTCGGCTGCTGCACTAAATCTACAATTTGACGACTGGAAGTGGTGGCTGGTTCATAGGAGGTTATCCTTTGATGGACTCAGGGGATGCTCTGTGCTCTGCTGCTTCCAAAGATAAAGGGCTTCAGCGTGGTTTTTGTTCTTGTTTTCCTTTGCCTAGCTTCTTTTATGTCCATGTTTTTTTATAGTAGCAGAGAGATATGGTCCTCTACTATGACCAGGCTCCCAATGCAGGGTCTGGCATTGTTGGGGTGACTCAGAATCCGTGTGGAGGGTAGGGGGTGTGCGAGTAGAGAAAAGTCCCTGCTCCCTTGGAGAACAGCATTCTAAAGGCACATGACGCTCAAGTTGACAGATACCTGCCTAGGTCTTTTGGGCTGGGTCAGCACAGAGCATTTTCTGATCACTGGAGAGCAAACCATGAAGGGTGGTGTCTGAGTCATTCAGGCCTCACCTCCTATTACTATCACCTTGGGGGTCAAGTTTCAACATGCAAATGGGGGAAGGGACAACCATTCAAATCACAGCGTAAAGCACAGGTGGCACACTGACTAGTCCTTCTATAATAAGGGTGAGTTGAGGGCAGCTTGCATGGTGGGGCCTATTTCTGAATACTGGGCCTGAGGTGTGACAACAAACTAATACGGGCCCCACCCTCAATACCTTTTCAGTCCAAACTCTGTTGGTGCTTCCCAATGGGGAACTCATGGAGCAAGGTGGACTTTTGCCTTTTTAAGCTTGTCATGGGGTGTGGGAGACAGTCAGACACACACAGTGTAGTAGTATTTAGTGTGGGGTTCAGCGAGCAGGGAGCCCTAAGAGTATGCATTAGCGTGGCCTACCCAGGTTTGGGCCACTCATGGGAGGAAGTGCCCTTCAGCTGGTAGGCAGCAGTTTAGCAAGTAGAGGAAAGATTTCCTTCTCCACATGGGAGCCAAATGCCACAGGCCTCTCGCCATCTCTTGAGGATGGAACAGTGCTGCACCTTGTCTTACAGGGCTCAGACCTCCTAAATGGAGATGGAGTGAGATTGGCAGGGAGCAGGCAGAATACACCCAGCCACAGGAATTCCATGGAACTGGGAGAAGCCATGAGTTTGGGGGGAAACCGATGCTGGCAGGGGAGGGTTCAAGCCTGTGAGGATTTACTGAGTCAGATGAGCCTTGAAGGAGAGTAGACTGTGGGAAGGGAGTGATGACTGAGAACCGGAAGGAAGAAAGTCCTTAATCATTGTCAGCAGCAGGAGGCTTTAGGGCAGAGCAGGAAAGAACTGGGGTCGGGAGGAGAGGTAGGATACCTGCACGAACTGTCTCCATCAGCTATTCAAACACAAGAGAGGAGGCTTCGCTTCCGCCTTACCTAGATGGAGCCCAACCCTCTGTCCTGGGCAGGAACCCTTGGTATGCCTCTGCTGGGCAGCCGAAGTTGGCTAAAACCTCAAGAGTCTCAAGACTGGGCCTGTGGGTCACCGGAATGCAGTCCAGGCAGGTCTGGGGCCAGATGAGCTTGATCATCTTGGTGTTGGGGCCCCTTTCAGTGAAGGAACACTTGCAGCCCTCAGATCACCTTGGCTGCACAGTGAATCCTCGGTGGGTGAGATGCTTGCTGTGTAAATGCTAAAAGCAGCAATGACCTTGACTTTGGTTTTTTTTTTTCCCCCCCCAAACTCACACTGAGTTTACCTGAGATTACCTCCAACTGCTACTCCATCCCGGGATTTGGGGTGGGGTGGGAGGACACACAGGGACTGACTCCTT